GAGTATTCATGAGTATTTGGATGTAAATGTTTTTCTTGTCTTCGTCCGTTTGAATCGCACAAGCTCTCATTCTAATCACAAGCATGCACATTTCTTGGCTATAGTGTGCAACATGAGGGATACTTGTGCATGTTATCAAATGGTCAGATTTATATCTCTCGACACGTTAAGTTTGACTAATTTGTGTTTCTATTTGCATGGCAAAATTTGGATTTAATGGGTTTTCTTCAAGTTGCTATCTTCCTTGCACATCCTTTGATGTGGTGCCTGGTGTTTCATATGTTTTATATAATCACGCGTCTTCATTACCTCCTTCGAATAATGGTGTTATCCCTTTGGCAGATTTTGCTTCATCTTCGACTGCTCCAACTGGAATCATGATGGGTGATATTCCTTTCACTTATTCCCCTTGGCAGTCTGCTTCCACTGAGCAACCTGAAACAACACCTGATGATGATTCACAAGAGCCAAATGATATACATGCTACCAATACTGCTCCTTCCTTACCTTCCAATAATCACTCGATGGTCAGTCGGAGCAAAGTTGGAATCTTCAAGCCAAAAGTTTTCATTGTTCAAGCCTTGCTAAATGGTGATGAACCCATCACTGATCATTAGGCATTGAACTCTCATACTTGGGAAGATGTTGTCTTTGAGGAGTACGATGCCTTGGTTCGCAATGATACATGGAACTGGTTTTAAGTGGTTGTTTTTCATTAAGAAAAATGTGGATGTGTCGATTGCTAAGCATAAAGCTCGGTTAGTGGCAAAATGTTTTTTCCAAGTTCCCGGCCAAGACTTTCATGATATCTTCAGCCCTGTTATTAAGTCATCTACTGTCAAAGTGGTTTTGTCTCTTGCAGTCATGCATAGATGGCAATTACGCCAAGTCGACATCAATAACGTTTTTCTTAATGGAGAACTTAGTGAGGAGGTCTTCATGGTTCGACCTCTGGGATTTGAACAACATTTTTTTTATGGTACCCAATTGGTGTGCAACTTGATAAAGTGTTATATGGTCTTAACAAACACCTCGCAGCTGGTATGTTAAATTACGCTAATTTCCCATTCATATTGGATTTCGAGGGATACAAGTTGATGATTCATTATTCATTAGACGTAAGGGTGATTGCTTGGTTTTTCCCCCTTGTATATGTGGATGATATTATTGTCACTGGGCATAATATTGATGATGTGTAATAAGCCATCTCCTTGTTGGGTCGTGAGTTTGCTCTAAAAGACTTGGGAGAGTTAAACTTTTTCTTGGGTTTGGAAGTCTCTCGTGATGTTAATACTATTGTTTTACGGCAACATAAATTTATCCTTGAATTGCTTGACATGACGGGCATGCGAGGTGCACATCCTGTTCCTACTCCAATGGTTGTGGCTCCGAAGTTTTGCAAGGATGGAGGAAGTTCGCTGACAAATCCTTGGTTGTATAGGAGTGTTGTTGGAGCTCTTTTATACTTGAATCACACTTGTCCTAATATTGCTTTTAGTGTCAATAAAGTCGCTCAATATATGCATGACCTACGAGAGCATCATTGGGTAGCTATGAAACGTATCTTGAGGTACTTGAGTGGTACACTTGACTTTGGCTAGGTCTTTCGAAAGCCATCATTGGGATTGAACTTGGAAGCCTTTAGTGATGCTGATTGGGTAAGTAATATTGATGATCGACGCTCAATTTTAGGATTTTTTGTTTTTCTTGGTGGTAATCGTGTTTCACGGGGATCTAAACGCCAATGTTCAGTGTCTCACTCGACCACAAAGGTCGAATATCGTGACATTGCTGATGTTATTGCTGATATTACTTAGATTGAAACATTATTAGAAGACATAGGTATGTCATGCACCAAAACTCTCGTTGTATGGAGTGATAACACGAGCGTAATTGCAATGAGTGATAATTTGGTGTTTCACTCTCGTTCAAAACATGTTGAATTAGATCTTCATTTTGTTCGGGAAAAGGTTGGAGCTAGCACGGTTTGCATCAACTATGTTCATGATTATCATCAACATGCAAACGGTCTTATCAAACCCCTTTCACGTGCTTATTTTTCCTCATTTCACCACAAGATGAAGGTCTCAGATGGAGTTCTTGAAGTCCTGAAAAGTAGGGTGAATGTTAAGCATTAATATTAGAATATAGAGAGTTTATTAAGCATTAATATTAACACAATATAGATAGTTGCCAGAGCATTGATTTAGAAGGATCTAAAGAGTTTGTATTATCTTTTATATATATATATGTGGGGGGGGGGGTGTTTACAAATGGGAAAAAAGGTGGCATTATGTATATTTTAAAAAACAATTGTTATTTTCTTAATAATCGAGAAACTATTTTGTAACTTTTAATATTAAATGAATTTAACAAAGCGTCGTCATATAGTCGACAGACCATTTACATACTTTAACTAAGAGAAAAAAAAAAGAAATATCTAACAAGTTTTTTGTATTCCGTCAAAATATTTCCAAATACTTGGATAATAATTTTTTATATCTTTTATAAAGAGAATATAAATAGATTGTTTGAGATTATTTCTTTTAACAAATATATTTAGAATATCAAATTTTAATATACCATATATCAATTCAAATAAAATCGTTGATTACCATCTAAGGATTCAACCTTAATAAGATTTTTTTTTACGCATCACACAAAATATAATGTGTACAGACGGAGAATCGTTATCAACTTTGTCGGTTCACAAGCAAAAGAATAATATATATATATATATATGATAACGAAAATTAAATATTAATTGTCTCAAGATATGCCCGAATCTAACGACTAACCAACAAACCACTGGGGAAAAAAGCATAAAGGATAACATAAACATTAACCTAAATAGGAGCAAAAGTACCAATCTTGGTTCAAACATATGGCAAATAGGTATTAACTATGTTAGCATGAAATAGATTAAAGAAAAGGCGAAAGTTTAAGAATTCAACAAATCACCAAGTGGTGGTCTTCAAGAATGCTTGACTTGGTCGGTCATATCCATATGTTTCCTTTGTTCGTTGCCTGTGTCAAGAAGGTCGAATAGTAATTGTTAACAACTTTTAGAGTATGTAGTTGAAAGCTTTTTGTTTACATTTTCTTTTTCTTTTAGATTATAAGTTTAATATCCCCTCTCATAGGTAGGATGTTCAAAACAAAAAGTCCAACGGCAATTAAAAATTACATAAAATATACTTTTTGGCCATTAAAATTTTAGAAATTTTATTAAAAGAATTTAGAAATCATAAAAATAACTCTTAAATTAGTTAACTATTATAAAATTAAATTATTGATAAAATTTGAATAAATTTAATGATCATTTTGTAAGATTTTAATAAAGTTTAATGGTCATTTTATAACTGTTTAGAAAATATAGTGTCTGTTATGTTATTTTTGAAATTTAAATGACCAAAAAGATTATTTTAGCATAAATTAGTGGTTATTTTTATATTTTACCTCTAGAAAATCAAAACCGCGTATTTGGCAGGGCGAATGACTGGGATTAATTAACGTCAACCCTTAATTTTTTTAAGGTTAAACCCTATCATTAACCCCTTTTGTATGCATCAATTATAAATTTAGTCTATATACTTTAGTTTGATCAATTTTAATCTATTTGCTTTTTAAAATTTAAAAATTTAATCACGGTTCAAACATTAGAAAGATAATATAATTAAGTTATAATTACTTAAAATGATAAAAGTAAAAATAATAATTGAATCTATGACTTATATACAACTCATAAACTAACAGTAAAATTTGATTTAATAGATTTAACAGTTATTTTTTAAGTCAGGACTGAAAATTTATAATTTAAAAAGTAATAGGACTTAAAATGATCAAATTAGAAACAGTGACTAAATCCACAAGTTATGAATGTTTAAGGACTAATGAAAGAATTTGGGATTTTATTTTTATTTTTAGTTTTTTAATGTAGGGAAGTTGAGGGATAGGGGCTTTTTGCCAATTCCTACAATGCTCCAACACGTACTAGCACGACAAGATTGAAGATTTCTACACGTTATCTTTTGCTTTGCTTTCAACCCACCTTTTCCACCTCATAAAAATTAATTATTTTATTCCTTGACTTCTACACCTTTCACCTAAATACTATTATATGTTGCTGATATTATATACAAATTAATTGTCCAAAACTTTCATTCTTTATATATATATATATATATATATATATATATATTTAATCAGTGACAGTTTCAAAATCTTTTTAAATAAATTTAAATAAAAATTTAAATAAAAATTATCAATAAAATAATTAATTAACATAAAAATTTAATATTCATACCGAACAATCCTTGAACTCCCTACTATATATAATAAAAATTCCCACAAGAAGAGTAATACATCCCATTTTATTAAGCAGAAGTATCCAACCATTTTGGAGAATCAAACTAGGCGTCGTAATAGAGACTCCTCCATTTTCTATCACAAAACGGCCCCAAATTTTAAATAAATCCATTTTCTCTGATAAATAATTACTGTAAACATAATAGTATGACACGTTTAAACATAAAATACATATTCATATTTAAATTCATTAATTATATATATATATTAATTTGGGTGAGTATAATATAATCTGTTCAAAGACTCTTAACTATTTGACAATTAACGTTCATATTCTTAACATACATGATGCTTGAATCCAGGACCTCGAAGAATAATAACAATTATTTGAGAATATTTTACTGTCCATTTTATAAGTTTTAAAAGTTAAATGATCAAAATAATTATTTGAGAATACTTTACTGATCTCTATTGCGTTTTACCCAGTTAATTATTGGAAACTGATGAGGTAAGTGGGTCCCATACTATTCTTCACTCTAACCACCCAATCACCAGACGACGTGTAACCCCGGATATTCCAACTCAGAACCACGATTTATTCGCCTCCGAAACGTATCGGCGACACCCCATTTTTATTTCCCACTCCACACCGCATGAAACGTAAGGATTTTTCCTCTTTTTATTTATTTATTATTTTCCATTTACTCGCTTCGGTTGCCTTTAAATTCTAACGAGGATAGAGAGCGGGAAGGCATCAAGCTTTCATTTGCTCCTCTACTCAAAGTGTCCTATAGGGTTTCCATCCCTTCTTCTCATTACATTTTTGCCTTTTCTCTTGGTTTTTTGAGATCTGTGCCTTTTTTTAATTCTTCATTTAGCTTCTTGACAGCTTCATCTTCTTAAGAGCAGGAAACCGATTGCAGGTACGTTTCTTGAACGCCTTTTTTCAACGTTTAGATCTTTGATTTTTCGTTTTTTTAAGCTCCGTTTCTCCTTGTTTATGATCTATAGCTGGATCTGATTGCTTCTTCTTCTTGTTAGTCGTAGCTTGTATTTAGCTGCATCATGGAAGAAATACACATTTTTCATTTCTTCTTTTGCTTTAAGTTATATTTTCTCTGAGATAAGTTGTTTTTTTCTTTTTTCTTTTCCATTTTCGTGGTGAGAATTTATCTGTTGTTGATTTTGAGCTGAAATCGGTTTTTAAATATTAAGTTTGGTTCTGTATTTTCTCCTTTTAGCATTCTGTAGTAGTTATGTGGATCTAGTGTTTACTGTGTTATTCTTGCTGATTTGTTTGATTCAAGAATTTTTCTCAAAAGTTCACCGTGGAATCGCTGAGCAAGATTGTGCTAGGAAATCATTTTCTCTGTAGAAAACTTAATTATTTGATATGCATACTTTACGAAACAGAGAGGAAGAAAAGTTGTAATACGCTAAGTTCTTCGGTTTTTTTTACATAATTTGTTTTAGATTCTTGAGTGTTTTGCCTTGAGATGTTTGCTTATTGTCATATCCCACTCTGACAAAAAAATTGTTTTAGATACTTATTTTCTAGCATATAGTTGGTTAAGTAATGTGATGGATAAATTTAAAGAAAAAAAATTGTAACAGATCAATTAAACTTTTTGATCTTTGTGTATTCTAGTTTCTTATTTCTAACTTGAGAATCTTGTATGACATTTTTAATCCGTGCCTATACATTTTACAGTACTTATTGATATACTGTTTGTAACTCACATAGATGGCACCACCAATTGAGACTCCAATCAAGTCCTCTAACTCTCACCACTCTTCACATCCTCCTTTGAATGAAAGGATTCTTTCATCAATGACCAGAAGGTCTGTTGCTGCCCATCCATGGCATGATCTTGAGATCGGTATGAATGTCAACTTAAGCTCTGTATTTTTCGTGTGTGTGTGGTGGGGTGGTTATCGACTTATTTCTATTGGCGTCATCAGGGTTTTAAATGCGTTCGCTGTCACGTTTTCAGTCGCGTTTCATTTATCACGGTTGCGGATACAATGATGCTATTGCGGTCATTGTAGATATTGCCTGAATTTTTTCGAAGGAGTTGATTTTTTTAATAAATAAACATGTTTTTAAAAAAAATAATGGAATAATAGTGGAATAGCAGTCCGTTGTTGTCGCGATTGGCCGCGATCCGTTAAATTGCAGCCGCGATCCGCCACTATTGGTGTGATCCCGCTTCACACCGTTATTTTAGCGATAGCGATTTCAGACACCGCCGCGACCGTGATATAACAACCGCGATACCGTTATTCGGCCGCTATTTGAAACCCTGGGTGTGATGTAAATCTAACAATGTACTCATTTTTTTCAACTTTTTTCGTAATTTCTTATAGGACCTGGAGCTCCAATGGTTTTCAACTGTGTAAGTTACCTTCACCTAGTCATTACCATTGACGTTTTGGATGGCATGTTCAACGTTCGATAAAATGCTTCATAGAGTTCTACATTACGTAGGCTTTTGGTTGTTTGCTTAATACATTTCTTAAACATTTGGCATTTTAGATGTTTTCCCATGGTCATATTTTTTGGTTATCATGTTTGAGATTTATTTGTGAAAACAAATGAAAGGCCTTGGCACTATATATGTGGGTTTGTTCAAGATATATTATGGCTGGAGTTGTATTCTAATTTATGATCTCTTAACTTGATATTGTTGTACTGAAGACGCGGTTAATATCTGCAGGTGATTGAGATCCCGAAAGGAGGCAAGGTGAAATATGAACTTGACAAGAAAACTGGTCTGATAAAGGTTGATCGCGTGCTTTACTCATCAGTTGTGTATCCTCACAACTACGGGTTCATCCCCCGCACTCTCTGTGAAGACAATGATCCCATGGATGTCTTGATTATTATGCAGGTAGGTCTTTGACCTACCTTTTTTTAATCGAAAATATCATAGGCCATAGGCTAATGCACTGTTGTGAAACACATTCCATGCTTTGAAATTCTCTTGTATCGCCCTAGTCTGTCCATATGCTGTACTTACAATTCATATTGCTAAGGGCTTTATGATTTTTATGTTAGGAACCAGTTATTCCGGGATGCTTTCTTCGTGCTAAAGCTATAGGTCTGATGCCTATGATAGACCAGGTACGTATTAACCACTGATTAAAATACTCCCAAATTTTGGATATATGTTTTAAATCAAACGAGTATAACTGTGAAATATTGTGAATGCAGGGTGAGAAAGATGACAAGATTATTGCTGTCTGTGCTGATGATCCCGAGTATCGTCACTACAATGATATAAAGGACCTCCCACCTCACCGTCTGGCTGAAATTCGTCGCTTCTTTGAAGACTGTATGTAACTTTCTTGGCTAAAGTTTAATTATTCTTACTAGCAAAGCATATGTAACTTGTAAAGGGAAGGATATATTAACCTTTTTTTGCCTTGTTAAATACTGCAGACAAGAAGAATGAGAACAAAGAAGTTGCTGTTAATGACTTTCTGCCTGCCACTACTGCTTATGAGGCAATCCAGCACTCCATGTAAGTGATCGTTTCCTGTCGTTAAGCTGAACCTCACAATATCATGCACAAAATACGAAAAAATAGCTAAATCACGACATGCGTAAGTGGGGCTGCTTTTACTGTACACAGAATTTTACGTAGATGTCAAACTTCTAAAATTTTAGGAGTTAATGAATTTATAAAATATAAAAAAAATATTTAAAATATATGATAATTTAAAATTTTTAAAGATACGATTATCCCCCATCACCTCGCATTCCATCTCTGCTTTTACAGCTTTTCAGAGGCTTTTGTTTCATTTATATATATTCTGTTGCAATTTCAAGAAAGTGTTATAATTTTGTTTCAACATTCTGTTTTGAAGGGATCTGTACGCGGACTACATCGTGGAGAGCTTAAGGCGGTAGTTGTGCGCGATTGCTATGTCCCAGCTATTTCCTGCTATACATTTAAGTCCCTTTTCACGTAACCAGAAATTCATAATCTCTGGTTTTGCAACAAAGTAAATGTCTTTATGACAATGATGGCGATAATTTTAGTTAATTCTCACTGTAACGAGTAATTGCTTCACTCGATTCTTTTCTTTTTTTGGGGGGATTGTATAATGCCCACCACTTTTATTTACCGTCTTTGACGAACCACATCTTTTGAATTATTTTATTATTATTACGGAACTACTGTCCTATGGGTGTTTACGTGTCTGCTTTCTTTTTCCAAACTCATCAATTGATTCGTGTTCAGACTTAAGTCGAGGTTCTCTATTTTTTTACATTTTAAAATTATATCTGGATTTTGATTCAATGCGTGTACAAGTAATTTTAAGATTAATCCTAAGTAAAGCGTGTAGTCATGCCCAACAGCAAACAAAATTTTCTAGCTTGAACAGCTTTTTTCTATAAAAATTGAACTAAACAATTACATTCTTAAAACTCCACTAACATTATCATGGAATAAGAGATTAATCTCTCGGGTGAACTTTCAAAATTATTGCTAAAATGATTTTTTAAGAATTGTGTTGTCCAAATTTTCTGATCTTCCATCATTTAAAAATTTGTACATTTTAAAATATTAATCAAAATCGATTGTTATTTATTTTGAACAGAAATATATTAATGCATAGTTACTATGATGTATGGATCACTTTTTAATTATTTTTATGAAATTTTGAATTTATTTATCTTTATAAAATTTCCTGAGTATATTTCATAAAACTCAAATTTTAACTTCATTGTAATCATACAAACAAGCCTACACTCAAGAAAACCAATAACTTGTATTCAACACTCAAAAGATAACATCTAGGACATATATAAAACAGTTCAAAAACATGACAACCAACTCTCCCTCACCTTTCTCTTTCATTCTGCTTTTGAAAACTCACCACCTTCTTCAATTTTTTGGTATCTAAGAGATGGATATGAAATGGAGTTTTCAGCTCCTAAAATGAGTTAATCATATATAGTAGGAATTTCGACTTTCAAAGAAAAATGAGTAAATCATCCAATTGACCCTACAACTTTTATTCACTTTTTAAATGTTCACAAAACTCTTATTTGCATACAAAAGGCCCCAAAAACTCGTCAAATTGAGCTCAAATTTGACCTAATGAAACCCGAACCCTAAATGACTTATCCATCAATAACACGGGTCAACGCTCGGACGTTGACTCGGAAGTTCGGATCATTACATCTAAAATCTCATGTTTTAACTATTTAAACCAATGGTATCACTAAGTCTTATTTTACCTAATTTGAAATTAAGTTACACTTCTCTTCTGAATACATATTGGGGAAGTTCTCATACAATCCTAGAAAATAGAAGTAATCTGTTCACACTGTTATTGGGGTTCGCTACAAGAGAGAATCCAAAGAATAAAGTTTGATATGGAAGATAAACTGCAATGGTTGGGTTGAACCAGAAGGACAAGCTCTATGAAGAAGTTAAGTTCTTCCAAGGACAGGTATAGAGTAACTAGTTATGTTGGAATTTTCACCACAGTTTGCTTAATTTCTGAAACTTGTAACTCCTTCTAGGAGGGGTAAGAAATGTTTAATTTTGTTTTTCCAAGGATCACAATGTTCAATGTTTATGGAACATTCCTTTTGCCCTACATTTACTGTTGCAGGTGACTGGCAGTAGCAGAAAACAAAATAAGCATTCATCTACAAGAGAATGCTAAGATCAGCCCCTCCATATTTGCTTTCTCGAAACATTAATCGATCCATTGAAGAACCAACCGTGCCTTGATGGTCATTGTTCCTTTCTTCACCCATGAATTACTCATATTTTTTAATCAATGAACACAATCCTAGGGACAGCAACAATCTGTACACAGTTATTATGCTTGGCTGCTACGTTTCAGCATATATGTCAATATTGCATGCTAAATTTTGCCAAAGAATAACAAGTTACGTTTGAATTTTTCTTTTCATCGCAATTGACTTATTTTGCCCCCCCCCCCCCCATGTGGCCCTTGCAGCCAAGCTATAGCAGCAGAAAGGTAAAAACAACAACAAAAAGTATGGATAAAAAAAACGCCCACCGTGGGGCTCGAACCCACGACCACAAGGTTAAGAGCCTTGCGCTCTACCGACTGAGCTAGACGGGCTTTGCTTGCTATAACATGAATTTTATATGTTGATCCATTATTAAGTTGGCATGAGAACAATTATCCTTATTGTCAGGATTAAACATTTATGTTGAAGATTGAAGTTTTATGACGATAATGGTTGATTAAATATTTGTCTCTGGTTTATGGGGTATAAAGTTATTTGAAATTCTCTCCATAATATCACACATAATCTTACAAGTATCTTTTACTAGTCTTCTTATATGTAAACACTTGATTCGATTGCATCTTATTACCTTTGAAAATTCTTTCATTCCCTCATTGTTGAAGTATTCTTCTTTACTCAAATTTTATTTGTGTTCAATTGATTTAACCACAAGAAAAAATACATCCTTTTAGAAGAGGTGGATTCCATGCTTAACAAACCATAAGCAAATGAGACTGAACTTATCGTTACTCTTCATACCCCATACGAGATGGACTTGAGTATGCTCAACATAGAAAAGCGAAATCAACATCATCAAAATTTGTTGTTTTAAAGACTTAAGTAATCTAGCTTAAACTTTTTGTGATTGTATAGGATCCCACGTGAGATTCTTCACCCACTCAAACTCCTTATAGAATTTTAGGTAACTGCATATTCTGTATATTAATGTTAATTTTTTTGTCATCATTTTGAGGAGGAACTCGTTTTACACAGATTCCATGAAAAAGTCTCATCCCAACTTGGCTGAGTTGATCGAATAATGCTTGACAAGGATACGCTTGATGATGCTCCATGTTTTTCTACATTCATTTGTCATGGTTTTCATTTGCAGTGCTGTAACTTGAACTGGTTTGACATGTAAGATTATAGTTTGGTGTTATATGACTGGTGGTATACTGCCAGACACGAGTGATTTAGAAGGGCTATCACCTCGGCTGCCCGTAGTTGCCTTTCTCCTTGAAGAGTTTGGATATGGTGATGTTTGCTGTAAGAGTTAAAAAAAATCTATATCAACTCTTAAGAGCACAAGCATCTCTATATTTGCTACGGCGGTAAACGAGTCAAATCAAGCTCGATTCGACTTAAAAATTTTAAAATTAAATTAAATTGACTCAAAAGCTCATGAACTTAAAATTATCAAGTTCGACTCAAACTCAAAATAAAAAATTGAAATTCATTTCAATCTCAAACCAAAACCTTAAATTATATATATATATATATATATATATATATATATATATATATATATATATATATCAAGTAATTCACTTTTGTTTATTAAAATTTAATTTTAAAATTTCAATATGTTATTTCTTTTAATAACTCATAAGCTTTTAGAGTCGAATATCAAATAACTCACTTTTGTTTATTAAAAATTTGAGTCAAATTTGAGCTAAGTCAATTTCATTCAATTCAAATATCGATCAAACTTTGATTAAATCAATCTTAAATAACTCATGATTTATCTCGTCTCATTTACAATATAATATTCACCATATCTGATAGCACAATCTTGGGGAACGTAAATTTCAAGGCCTGTCATAATAAGTGGGAGTAGCCCCATCTAATCAAACAGCAAGAACACAATGCAAATAAAGTAACAAAATGAAATGAACCAAAAGATATCCATCTCATGCCATACAAGCAGTCTCGGTTCATGGAAAATTGAGGTCCATTATTGCATACATTCAACACATGCAATTTGAAGTAAAATGGCCCCAACTTCCTATAAGCATCAACATTTATCTACACCTAGAGCACAAAAAAGGAGCTACATAAACACCAGAAAAAGCAAAGCAGAGACTATACTAAGCCTTCTTAGGTGACTTTGCTGGAGACTTTGCAGCCTTCGATGGTGACTTAGGCTCAGTCGATGGCTTCTCGCTTCTCTTTGGTAGAAGAACCGGGTTAATGTTCGGTAAAACTCCACCATGAGCAATAGTCACACCAGCCAAAAGCTTCCCGAGCTCCTCATCATTCCTCACAGCCAAAAGAACATGTCTTGGAATGATTGTCTTCTTCTTGTTGTCTCTTGCAGCATTACCGGCCAACTCCAGGACCTTGAAAAACAGACAACCAATTTTAAAAAACACCAAGGGTATCTAAAATTCAAAAGTCACCCACCATAAGAAACCTTCCAAAAAAAGGAAAACCAAATTCAATGGCAACCATTTCTCAAAGAATCAAAAGCAAACCACAATTTACATATCTAATTAATTTTCCTTAGCTCTGTTTTTACCATTAGAAGGTTTGTCTAAGTTTGAACTCATATTGAACAAAGGCTTGGTATAAAAGCAAACCCTAGCTCATTGTACAAGTTATTTGAACCATTAAGTTATAGATGAGTATAAAATATAACCCGTTAATATAAGACTCAAAAAGGCAAAAATCAATTATAACAAAAAAAACCTTACCAAGAAAGCAACTTTTTTAGAGCCAAGTAATATTTTAGATTAAAAACAAAAATATAATATTTTCCATAATAATTTATGTAAATTGTATAACTATTATGATTGCAATATAAAAAAATTATTGTCAAAATATTTTCTGTTATATCCAAAATTATTACCAATTGTATAACTTTTTTTTATTGATCAAGATAACCCATTTTACTATCAATAAAATATTGAATGAACTTTAAACAAATTAGTCATGCAGAACTGTTTAATTCAGGTTGGGGCATAGGTTTTCCTTCATTTTTCCAATAACCAACTAAACCCTACATAGTGAATCGAAAGCGTCAAAACTAAAAATAGGGCTAATTTAACCAAAAAGGACATGATTCCATGTAAATTACTGAAATGTCAAACTAGTGATGTGAAAAAGAGAGCAATATAGCAACGGAAAAGATGAAATTACCTCAGCAGCGAGGTACTCAAGAACAGCAGCTAGGTATATCGGAGCACCGCTTCCCACACGCTGAGCATAACGGCCTTTCTTCAAGTAACGGCCGATTCGACCGACCGGGAACTGTAATCCGGCTTTGACGGAGCGAGAAACCGATTTTGCCTTTGGACCGCCTGCTTTCCTTCCTCCAGCTCCCTTCTTCGCTTTCCCACCGGCTTCCATTACTTCGAAATGCAGAAAGAAAGAGGAAAAAGCGCGACTTGAAAATGAATTCCGCAGTAATATTTTTCTCCAGAAAGGGCTGCGATTTATATGGCAGTGGGTAAGAAAGGGAGAAGGGAAGTCGATTTAGCTCAGGGACTTTGAGAGGTTTTAAGCCGTTTGATTTGTAACTTAATCGACAGTGGAGGAATAACATGTTTCATGATCCTCGTGAAATGGAATCACCCAATGCGACTGTTGTATGAATTATTTAGAAAAGAGTAAATTACATGAATGATCAATTAATTATGGAGTAGTTATAATTTGATCACCAATTTGTTAATTTTGTTAATATGATCTATTATGGATGTTTATTTTTTTTACTCTTTTATCCATACATACATATAGGGATGGCAAACGGGCGGGTCGGGTGTGAATACCCTCTCAGATTTTAAATGGACGTTCGAGTTTAGAACAAATCTATTTAAGAATAATAAAGAAAATTTTCTTGTAAAAATTTATATTTAGTAAAATCAAATTAACAAATGACTACGTGCGTAGTGATAAAAGGTTTGTATGCAAAACGTATACGTTATGGGTTTGGTCCTTGTATAATACTATCTTCGTCCAACTAAAAATGTTTTTTATTATCTTTTAAAAAATTAAAAAATTAAAATTTTTAAATTTTGATCATGATTATTTTAAATATTTTAAAAAATTAAATTTTATTAAATATATATTTCAAAACTACTTGATTGAGTGTTTCTAAAAAAATATATTTTTACATTTTTATCAATAATAAATTTTAAATAATAATGAGTTAAAGTAAAAAAATTGATCCTAAAACAATTAATAATGGACAATTTAAGTGAGACAGAGAATAATTTTGAGTTATTTTATTTAAAGATGAATTAATTATTTACCAATTAAGTTTGATATGGAGATAGTTCGTGACATAAAACTTAGTCGGACATTTAGTATAGATGCTAATAGGATACAAATGGGGAAATTTATATTTTGGAACTTAAACTTAGCTTTAATATTCAATTTCATATCTAAACTTGTTTTCGTCTAATTAAATATTTGAACTTGGCTGTAATTCAATTTTGTATTTAAACTTTCTTTTTCAACTTAGATACCTAAATTTAACTTTTTAACCTAAATTAGTACTTATAGAAAATGAGTTATTTAAATTAAGCGATCTTGTTGGTAAATGAATTATTGTTATTCTTTGAGATTTCGGGTTTGAGTATTCAATGTCAAATGATTGAGAGTTATCTCTGAACATATACTACATTGTACTTACTCCAAATTAATAAAAAAAAACAGTTCAAACCATGCAACCAAGTTTAAGTACTAATTTGAATTAAAAAAAAAACTAAGTTTAGGTACCTAATTGGACCAATCAAAGCTTAGGTGCCAAATTAAACTTGAGGCCAAAGATTATATTTGACCAATACAAAATACTCCTAAATTTCTGATTGAAAATACCTGGATTGGATAAGTTCTAAATAGTGGACCCCAGCATTACGTGAAGCAAGTGCTACGTCAATTCGGATGTGGGTTGACATAAAAGTTATGGAGATCAACGGTGCAGAAATGATCTTCAAAGGCGGACCCATCCATGGGCCTAATTGAAGTCCAGTAGTTGAGGGAGTTTTCTGAAATTTTAAAGCAAACAAAAATATCTGAATTCAGACAGGAAGGAAGGACGACAACACCATGATGGAAACGTGTACGTTCCTGATTCAACCTCAAATACCGCCAATATCATTCACTCACACAAGATTCTACCCTTCCCTACCCTTCCGATCTTTTATCCCATCTCCTTCCTTCATCTTTCCACTCTTCACCATTTTTTCGCTTTAGGGTTCTGTTTTTAAATCTTCATTAGATTCAAAACAAAAACAAAAAGAGGTGGAAAATAGGGTTTTATTCTCACAAGCTTTTTTTGTGGTGGGGTGGGGGGGGGTTCGAAGAGCATAAAACGATAATATGCCCTCGTTTCCTCTCGGATCGGTTTTGCTCCGGCTAATCCCTTCAACTCCTTTTCATACTGGTTTATGTTCCCATCGTTTGAAACATCTCAATAAAAGCGATCGGCGCGGTAATCTTAGTTAACATTTCCCACATCCAAATCATTAACCTGTTTTGACTTCTCTATCTTCTCGCCTTTCTCTTTTCTGTCTTCCTTCAGATTCTCCTGTTTCTTTTGAGGCTATAATCATCCGATCCGGATAAAAAACCTTGAGGTTTTCGATCTTGAATTGGTGTTGCTTTTCTCAGAGGTTTCTTAAGATTTTGAATTTGATTGCGCTTTCAGAAGGTTTCCAAGTAAAGGTATATTATCCTTACCCGCTTAGCACGTGCTTGTGCTACACGCACGTGTGGTGAAATGGTATCTAGTTGATATCTGGTTCAAAGTTTGATCATTGTGTTTGGTTTAAATAATTACAATACTATGAATATATGATGTATTTTTAAATCTTTACTTGTCAAAGGATTAGACATAAATAAGTCTCTTGAGAAATTTTAATCTGTATTATTTCATTTGTCTACGTGATTGAGATCTCAGTTCATCTTAATTATATATGTAAACATTGAGCTGGATTCTTAGTTTTGTTAATATATCTAATGGGATCCGATTCAGGTTTTGGTTATCTCATGCACTATATATTGAAATTTATAGTTTAGAGAATTCACAAATGTGCCAATTGTTGTTTGTTCTTTGATTGAAGCTAGGGCTTGTTTTATTTGTTGGTATTGGAAATTGACATGGGCTCTCGAGAGGAAGATGATATCAGTGATATGAAGCATGCTGAGGTTCGTAGTTACTTGAATGAATGTGTTAATGGATCGATTCAGGACAATACGAACATGAGTAATGTGGAAGGATTACCTGAGCAGGGACATCAAAGCAAACCTACGCCAAAGATTTTAGCCAAGTCTGCATCGTTTCCTTCCACCGTGCCTGCCGAAGATGATGGAATTGTAACTGCATTGCAGCGAATGTTCTCAGAGGACTCTGTGCAGACATACTCCCGTTCGATTTCTTTGCCCGTAAGTTTGGTTTGTTACACATTAAGTTTAATTAGATCCATTGTTGTTTCATTTCCTGAATCTGTGCTGTCATTTACCCTTTAACAGGTTCCCCTGAAGCTAGTTTCTGCCCTTAAAGGTAGCCGTGAGAAACAAGGATTGCCACCGAAGAAGCTAACCGTGAAATGGGCACCTGACGTCTACAATCCTCCACCAACATCAGTATTGCATACAGTTGGAAACAAAAGGCAGCAGAAAACAAAGAAGAAGACTGACAAGAAGAAAAATGGAAAGAAAGGGAAGAAGGGCAACAACGCAGGACGAGGTAGTGGTGGTAAAGACAACAAACGCTGTGGGGGCGGTGGGAGTTCTGATAGGAGTTATAAACCACCGTCGGAGGTTCATCAGGATAGATTAGCCAGCTCCTCAATCGACCTTGATGGTTTCAATATTGACAGTCCCGACCCTCACTGTGGGAGTAGTTTTCTGAAAAAATCACCAACCAACATGCACTACCCTGTGGCAGAGGCTCTATGAGTAAATCTCTCTTTGCATAGCATGGAGAAGAAAATATATTTCTTTTAACAGTCCTTGTAGATAAATAAACCTCTTTTCAGCTTTCTCCATCATGGCCATTGGAACAATTTACTTGAATGCAATTATGTAATGGTTTGTGATAATTGTGAGTTTGAAAGTTTTGTTAGCCAGCAAAGACTGTTTTGTAAATATATCACCAGTTCCTCTTTAATGAGAAAACCTGAAATATATATTTCTGCAAACTGATTGTTCATTATTTGCAACAAATCCATGCTTTGAGAAAACTTGAAGAAATTTAAAGTTGATTCCTAGTTTATTCCTTCCATCATGCTTCCATTCTTAAACATGTTGTAGAGTTGTGCGGAAGAACTTGGATGGAGGAAATGCAGACTTTTATTGCAGTTCAAATTATGCAAGTACCATTAAACATACCGAAACGATCAAAGGCATCTGAGCAGGCTGCGGTGATGTCGTTTACGTCGTAGATTCTGCATTTACCTTGACATGGTTATAACTTTGAATCACATCCTTTACCTTGACATGGTTATAACTTGAGTCACATCCCCATGCTGCACCGTATCCGAGTTCATTCCCTGTTGCAGTTCAATACAAACATTAAAATCCTATGAGGAAAAAGATGATACAGGATTAAGGGCATTATATGAGTCAAATTTGGAGAAACTAACAAAAATTTTAATTTCCACCGTTCCATGTGTCTCACCAGCCTTAATGAGATAGTTGCTGGCTGGAAGCTGAAATTATATGCGGAAACTATAGATTAGGAATGATAAAGCTTTGGATTTATTTACATGGTCACTTCGAACCCCTCTAAATAACTTGTATTTTCTCCTAAATCACTAGCTAAGTGCATAATGTATATATGATTTAACAACTAAACTCAAAATTTGTCCCGACTTCTTTCAAGCCTGTCATGTTATGTTGTTTAGCATTCAAAGGAGAGGTTGACAGCAAGAAAGAGCAAACTTTACCGGTCAAATTTAACTGGTTTCCCACCATACATGAGCATGATATCTCCAAGAAATATCTGGAGTTTGTTTGGGTCAAAAGAAATATCTGACATAATTTATATTAGACAATGCTATGATTAACTGTCGGATTTTATGCTCAAATTTCATAGCTTGACAAGTGAAGAAGTAGCCACAGAGCGAGCAATCTTTGCTGCTTCAGCGTCTTCTTTGGCACCTCTTAACGTGAACTGCATCTCTAGGTTAGCTTTGCCTAAGACCATTCAAGGACCCCATAATAAGGGAAAACACAAATAGACCACTCTGGAGATTTTGTTGCCTAAATTTAAATGCATTACTCTATAATATCAGGACAAGATATTAGTTAAAGTGGCTCAGCATCAGGGTTCATTCAGTAAAAAGATCCTTCCGTTGGTCCAAAACTAGAGGGAATAAAGAATTGAAGAATGCAGCCTCAATTAAACATGTTGCTCCTTCTCCATCCCAAGCTATTGATTTAGCAAGACCTTGCATTACCTGAGAAGAGGTGTGTTAAATTAAAACCTCAAGCGAAACCACTGGCTAAGATCAAAAGACTAATCCAAGTGACATCATCCCAAAAAAATTGCAACCAAAACTGTTCTATAGATAAATTGGGAGGTTTGCACAAGAGATACTATTTATTTATTCAACATCTAACAAACCTAATTTAAGCTGGATAGGATGAATGAAAAGCTCGAATGCAGCCAACTTACAGCATCAAGACTTGCTTCATGTAGTGCAGCATCATAAGTGTTCATAGAAGTGATCCAATTTGATCCAGCTAACCCACTGGCAAAAGCAATGACAGTATCATTCTGGTACCTCCATCAACCTACAGAAAAAAAGAATAAAAGAACCTTGTTAAAAACAAGTAGAAACAGATTAAGCCGAGCCATGGAAGAAAAGAAGATCATTAAACTAAGATGTTACCTAGTTGAAATAAGTTGAAGGAAAGTTTAAAGAAATGAAATTACAAACAGTAATTTGGTTGAAACTGCGGCTTACAGCAACCCCAACCATCTTTCTCCAGATATTACTTTCAACAAGAGCGTCAGTTGTTATTACCTGAAAGAATTATCAGCCTTGAGAATGGGATTGGAGTAATATCCTATAGAAAAGCTAGAAACACTTGAAAGACTTACACCGAGCATGGTTGCCATGTTAGGGTGGATCATCCCAGAACCTTTTGCCATTTCCCCAATTCTTATAGTCGTCCCTCCAACCTTAGACAATAATTAGTTATACATGGCCATGAGATACAATTAAAGAAAGACTAGATTCATAAGAAACCATCAAGTTCTATAGCTCTGAGACAATGCTACCATCTAAAGTGGAAAATATTTTGGTTCACGAGAAGAAAAAATATACGATTATAGATATTAAATTATTATCCCTTCAAAACTTTTACCTCATATTCAATAGCCACACTCTTGCTAACAAGGTCGGTTGTGGTAATTGCCACTGCAGCAGAATCTGCCCTGAACAACCATAATGAGACCACAAATTGTTATGCACGCTTTGTAGTTGTGGAAAGCTGTCACTATTTAAAAGCTAATTAACACAGGTATGGAATCTTCACCTAATTATTCACTTATTCCTTTTGGAGATAACTTTAGAACTGTTCATTGCTCAGAGAAAAGGAATACGAAATGTCCTAATCATCTTATTGAAAGATATGTAGACTATGAAAAATTGCTTCTAAATTATAAAGCATTCACTACATCACTTGATAGTATACGGATTCTGAAATCAATTTAGGAAGCCCTGAAGATTCTAGTATGGAAAAAGGCAATTGAAGACGAAATTAAAGCCTTAGAAAGTACTTGGACTATCATAGAACTACCTTAAGGGAAGAAAACGGTGGGATGCAAATGGAAGTATTGAGGTTCAAAATGAGACTAGTGGACAAAGGGTTCACTCAATCATATGGGTTAGATTATCAAGAGACATTTGCTCGAGTAGCTAAACTAAACACAGTTCGAGTACTACTGTCATTAGCAGTAAACGAAGAGTGGTTTTTCTATCAAGAATGCCTTTTTAAATAGGGATCTTGAAGATGTGTACATGGAGATACCTCCAGGCAAAGTCAGTCAGATGGTGACAAAGTGTGCAAGTTGAAGAAATTTCTTTATGATCTTAAAACATGTGACAAAGTGTGCAAGTCGAAGAAATTTCTCTATGATCTTAAAACATATTGATAAGTTTACCAAAGCAGTGGTTTCATTGGATACAACCAATGTCAAGTTGATCATACCTTGTTCATGAAAACCTCCTCAAAAGGTAATAAGACCATTCTTATTGTCTACGGTGATGATATTATTATAACAGAAGATGACAAACAAAATAATCAAGCTAAAAGGGTTGCTTGCTGCTGACTTCAAAATCAAAGACCTTGATGCTCTCAACTACTTTCTAGGGATGGAGGTGGCTCGTTCCAAAACAAGAATTGTGATCTCTCAGAGAAAGTATGTTCTAGGCTTGTTAAACTAGACATGTGTGCTTTGGTGCAAACCAGCAGAAACTCCCGTGGATCCCAATCTAAAATTAAGGAAGAGTAAAGGAGTTCCAATTAACAAAGATCAATACCAAACAGTGGCAGATCTATGCTTACGTGCCCACCCTAAAATCTAAATTTTCTTCGATAATTACCTATTTTATTGATTGTGCCCAACCGAAAATTTTATTTGTGTCCACCTCGTACAAAAATTTTATGTTATTAATATATATATGTGTGCCCACCCTCAAAAATATTTCTACATCGGCCACTGATACCAAAGTTTAGTAGGCAAGTTGATGTACCTCTCACATATAAGACCAGACATTGCATGCTGTAGAAAACAAACTGTAGAAAACAGACAAGTCTGTTATTTTTATTCTTGTGTACATTCAGTAGAACATATTACATATTTATATACAAATTATGCCTCTAAACTAGGAAACTCTAAGAAAGGAAACTAATCCTAGGAGATGTAATCCCTTGAAATAAGGGATTGAAAAACAGAAAATAATTACAAAATCTCTTAACTTAAGGGATTGACACATTTCTATAATTCCTACACTCCCCCTCAAACTGGTGTATATATGTTGTATATACCCAGTTTGAATGACATCTCATCAAAAGTCACTCGTGGAAGCGCTTTGGTGAAGATATCTGCCAGTTGTTTCTTCGTCGGAATGTATTGCAGTTTTGCAACTCCATTGTTGACCTTCTCGTAAATAAAATGTCTGTCTATCTCAATGTGTTTCGTTCTATCATGCTGCACTGGGTTTTTTGCTATACTTATAGCTGATTGACTGTCACTAAAAATCTCAAAATTCTTCTTGTCATCTAAGTCCAGTTCTGTGAGCATCTTTTAATCCACATTTCTTCACATATTCCGAGAGCCATTGCTCTAAACTCTGACTCAGCACTACTTCGAGAGACAACAGCTTGTTTCTTACTTCTCCAAGTCACCAAATTGTTAGGAAATAAACCGAGTACAAGTAATTTCTCTATAACCAGATTAGTGAGAATGTGAAATAAAAGCGGAAAAATAATACCCGAAAATTGATAACGGAGTTCACCCAATTGTGCTTACGTCTCCGGGCTGCTGCAGATATTTTACTAAGAGAGAAAATTTACAGGTTGTAATAACCAATTTTTGTCCCCCATACCTTGTTGTTCCCAAAGCTGTACAATTTCCACTATCCACTCCAGCACATGCTCCACTCTCCACACCAGCACCAGCACATGCTCCACTTACCAGCACCAGCACATGTGGCTGCACACCACCAAATGCCAGCCCATACCTCACTCATGTTGTTGCCCATGCTTCACCCATCACTCCACCATCAGGAAATTATTATTATATGATTTTGTAATGGGTATAAAACCCAATCGAATTCTATGTAAAAGGGATGGATTTTTTTCAGCAATAAAAACAGCAATTAGAACCGAAATCTTCAAGCAAATTAAAGAGGTATTTTCGTTTTTTTTATTTCGATTTATCTTGTTAGATTCTTGAGATGTAATTAGAAAACCTAATGTAGTTTATAATTTGATTCTGCTTGTTTATGTGAATTTTATGGCTAAAAAATAGAAAAATAGTTGAAGAGGGGGTCTGTTAGAAGGATAGACAGAAAGAAGAGAGGAAGATACAAAAAGGGGTTATGTTCATCCAAAATGGTTTAAAATGTGAAATATATAGATTAAGAATGGTGAAAATCACGCTGAGGCCTTTCAAATTTCTGTCGTGTTTTACATCTTGATCACCAAACTTGTGCGTAAAATCACGCTTAGACCCCTGCACATTTAAGCGTTTTTATAAACTGGTCACTAATTTTTTTTTCTTTGCGTAAAATTATGTTAAACCTCTAATACATTGTCGTATCTCGCATTTTAGTCCCCGAATTCATCTATCTTGTTTTATTTCGTGTTTGCCACTTAAGTTTCGCTGTTTATAATTTAGTCACTAATATACTTCAATTCCAGCATTATTTATTTATGATTTAAAGCACTTTATGTTTTATTATTTTATTCTTGCCACTGACATACTAACATTTTATTTTTTGTTGTACAGTTAATCTCATAACTTTTAGATTTTTGTGCGATTTATTTTGTATATTATTTGCATCATATTTTTTACAAATCATTATTTGTTTTCTTACGTATGTAAAGAAAGAAATTTTATTGTGGGAAAAATCCACGAAGACATCTCCCAACTAAAGGGAATGTATCTTTTCGAAGACTTTTCGCACAAATGTTTTATTCAATAATTTTATCAGCTTTACATTTTTCGCACAAATGTTTTATTCAATAATTTTATTAGCTTTACATTTAATTATTTTTATTATTTATTATTTTTTGTTTTTTTTAACTCATCTTATCTCGTGAAAATATGGAATAATGCTATTTTGTGAGAGGAATCTATGAAAAAGTCTCCTAACTATGGAAGGATTTTCATGAAAAATCCTAACTATAAAGGAAGTGCATTTTCAAGGATTGTTCGTACAAAATAACACACTTTCTCATAAAAAAAATAATTATAATATTTTTATTTTGTAAGAATATCTTTTGGGTTATTTAATCTTTTTCATTAATTGCATTCCTTATTTTAAAGATTTTTATTAACACTTATAGATTTTGAATAAATAGAAGGATCATAATTTAAATATATTTTTGAAGTTTGTAATTCCCAATATTTAAACAACATATAATCGTTTAGGTACCAAAATTTGGACGTTGTGGAGGTGTTCACCCTTCCCCACACGTAACCGACTCCCGAACTCTTAAAAAATGAATCTTTGGTAAAACGAAGACCATTTTGTCGTCTTTTAATGATTTTTCTAAACTCATTAAAATGATGTTTAAGGTTTCCAATCTACCTAACTTAAAGGTTGGTGGCGACTTCAATATCAAATTATTTTCAAAATCGAATTTCATCGTTTACCCCCAAAAACCTAAAAATTTAAAGTCTAACGGATCCACACGGAAAACGTTATGACAGCTTGACGACTCCGCTGGGGACTTAGAGAGTCAGGCCATAAACGATTATACGTTGTTTTTATTTTTGGGAATTACAAACTTAAGTTGTATTTGATTTATGATCATTTTATTTATTTTGAGTTTCAACATTACATGCATTATTTTTATCTTTAACTAATTGATTTTTTATTTTAGTGGTCTTCAGATTTGAGCAGATTTTTGAGATTTGTGAAAGAATAGTTTTTTTTGGTCATGTTTTAAAGGTTTGTGAGTTTCTCCTCACACACGGCACGTGCATTTACATATCATAAGCTCACTTACGAGCTTTGTCCTTTTTAAGTTGAGGTGAAAGCTTAACCTACGTGAGATAAATTGTTTCTCCGCACGGGTTTTAGCAAGTAATCTTTGGGGTTCATATACCTTATGTTTACGTGAGATAAAATGTTTCTCCGCATGGACATAAGGAATGTATCTCTCGAATTGAACTCGATCCGCTGCTGAGCCTGTAATGGGTCAGGATTGAGGGTTTG